GAGCAGCGGACCTCTTCTGACCAGTTGGGCGTCTGTGAGCTTGCTAGATTCTGACACATCCCTGTTGCCTTGGTAGGGAGGGAGCTGCTCATCATGAAAGGTATTCAAGTAGAGGCTGCAGGGCATCTGGCAGGATTTCTGAGGTAGACAGGCTGGATTAGATCACTGAGAAGGTCGTTTCAAGTGCTGGGCGTTCATAACCCTGGGATGACACAGTACAGCTCTTCAGACATCAGGCAGCCATGGCCGTGCCCTGTGACCTTGGTGCGGCCTCGTTGCCATCCCAGGGAAGGGACTTGGGCTGTACCAAAGCTGTGGAATCAACTCCAGAATGATTGGAAATTTCCTCAGGAGTAAGGGACTTGATAAAAGGAGTCGAGTGCAGAGTCTTTTTTAAAAAAATTTTTTTTAATGTTTATTTATTTTTTGAGAGAGAGAGAGACAGAGAGACAGAGCGTGAGTGGGGGAGGGGCAGAGAGAGAGGGAGACACAGAATCCGAAGCAGGCTCCAGGCTCCGAGCTGTCAGCACAGAGCCCGACACGGGGCTCGAACCCACGAGCTGTGAGATCACGACCTGAGCCGAAGCTGGACGCTTAACTGACTGAACCACCCAGGCGCCCCAAGTGTAGTCTTCATTGTCAGTAACAAGGACTGGGATGCGGGTGTGGGTGTGGAGAAGGATCTGCCTGGCCCGGGGACCAGTGACCCTGAGCCCCCTTGGCCCGGGGACCAGTGATGCTGAGCGTCTACAGGTGGAGCTGGGGCTGCTGAGCAAGCCGACCCTGGCCTGCGGGGCTCAGGTCGTGCGGTCCGCCAGTCTTTCCTTCCCGCTGCCCACACACCTACTGTGGGGACACGGCAGACGTGGTAGAGACCCTGTTCTCAGCCTTAGGGAACTTCCCCCAGAATGCAGCACCAACGTGGTCCTGGCAGGAGAGGCAGAAGCCTGGGCAGGAATAACACGTGGGGCAAACATACCTCGTTTTACCCAACCTGAGCTTAAGGGGACAAAAAGAAAGCTCACGAAAGGAGCTTATGAAAGGTCTGTAGATATTTTGAACAGTCTAGAAACACAGCGATGAATGCTCTGGCTACGGAGGACTGTCGTGGTGTTACAAAAGGAAGCTCAGAAGATTTCAGGGATGCCCGGCTCGGGACGGCCCCACCTTGCCAGCGAAGGCGGCCGGTGGGGAGGAAATGCGGGCCATGCATTCTTTCAGGTGTGGGACGGTTCCAGAGAGGCCAAGGAAACAGCAGCTCTGAGGCCAGAAAGCCTACTTGGGAAGCAGGGTGATAGAAACAGGTGCGTGATCTCAGGCCCCGTTAGAAGGGTGTCTAAGGAGTAAGCCCAGGGAAGACGGAGGGTCCAAGTCAGGAGTCCGCCAGTGCGTGTGGCGTGGGGTAGACTTAATTCGCCTTTATGACAGCCAAGCTTCTCCACGCACAGCATGGACCCATTCCTCCTATCTTCTCAAGGGCTTGGCACCTGCGGTGTCTCGTCTCCTCCACAGTCCCTCTTACCACTGGATGATTCCCATAACCCAACAGACGTGCTCTGGTTTCTCCCGTCTTTACCAGTTCTGCCCGTACCTGCGTGTTCCCTCTAGCCGTTGCCTGGTTCTAAGGGTCCCTTCCTGGTCTCTTCTTCCTCTTATCTTAGCCACTCCTCAAACCATTTCCGTGGTCCCTGCAACTTCACTGTACCTCCTCTTGTCCAGGTCAACAATGACCTCCTTCTTACCAGACCCAGGGGACCCATCTCTGGTCTCATCTTATTCAGTCTCCCAGGGCCGTTCAAGGTAGTCGGTTGCTCTATTTGATGCTGAACCCATCCATGGTCCGATATTTGTCTTTTTTCCCCCTTTATTCCTCTCTAAATGATGACCAGTTTTAATCTCTTTGGCTGGCTCCTCCTCTACTCACGGCTAGACATTAGAATTGTGGAGGGTCCCAGACAAAGCCCTCTTGTCTCTTTTCTCTTTCAGGAGGTGTGTATATATGAAAACGTAAACAATGACTTCCAGATCTCTGGCTTCAGGCTGAGACTGCTTTTCTGAGCTCCAGACTTGCATATGACACAGCCAACCCAAGCTCTCTACTTGGATGCCACGAAGGCATCTCAGACGTCACGCGACTCAAACACAGCTATCACCTCTCTGCCCCTCTCTTCCTGCTGGGGCTGCCCATCTATGGTGCTCCTTTATGGCCTGCTGCTCAGGCCAAAACCCCAGAAATTATCTTTGATTCCTCCCTTCTTCTCACCCACCAGCAGCTCTTGGAGGATCTACTTCTAGCCTATTCAGCTCTCCCTTCTCCACTGGCATCATTTCGTCCGGGGAGTCATCTCTTCTCACCTGGATTAGTGCAGCCGCCTCCCAGCTGGTCTTTATGGCTCCATTGCTGCCTCCTCTAACCCCTCCTCCATGAAGCAGTCAACCTTTGAGATACTCCTGGTGGTTCTCTAACCCCTTGCTTGGGCCCACAGTGCTCTGAATGTCCTGCCTCTTCCTTCCATTCTCTCTTGTCTCCCCTTCAGCTGCTCTCTTCCTCATCCACATGGGATCAGCCTCACTGACTCTTTCTGCAAACTCAACTTTATTTTCCTATCACCCTGTTTGCTTCCTTTAGAGCACGTAGAACTTTCTTCCTCTTGTTTATGGATTTGTTTACATACTAGGTGTCTCTTCGCCTTAGAAGGCAACCTCCATAAAAACAAGGACCTCCTCTTTCTTGTTCCTCAGTGTACCCAGAGCTCTTAGAATGGTTCCAGGCATATAGTAGGTGCTCAGTAAATACATGTGGAATGTATAGGTCACTAAATAGAAATCACTATAGTAGGGGGCCCCTTGTATTCAGGGAGCTGTTTTCAGGTGATGCTCCCAGACACCTCCCAACGACCCCCCCCCCTTTTGGTAACTAGATCTGTGTCTTCACACATAGCTGCTCATGGGTTCTGGGCCTGGCTTCTGCTCTGTGGTGCCAGGCACACATGGCAAGTCTCCTTAGGCATTTAAAATTATCATTCTATGAACACTGAAGGCAAAAGAGGCAAATCACAACTATAGCAACTAATTCTCATGGACTATTCGCTAGGCATTTTAGTAATCAGGTTACCTGAACTGTCTTAAGATGAAGTCCATCATTTTCTTGCAGTTATGTAAGATTTCCCCTGAGCTTTACCTAGATGTGTTTTTCTTTGGTGAGAATAATTGATCTTTGACACATATTCAGACTTCCCAGGAAACATACACAGAAGTAAGAAATTGTATCATTAAATTCACCTCCTATTTCTACATGGACTTTTTTATTCCCATATCACTGTTTTTTTAATTTAAAAAAATTTTTAACCTTTATTTATTTTTGACAGAGACAGATTATGAGCAGGGGAGGGGCAGAGAGAGAGGGAGACACAGAATCTGAAGCAGGCTCCAGGCTCCAAGCTGTCAGTACAGAGCCTGACGCGGGGCTCAAACTTGTGAACTGTGAGATCGTGACCTGAGTCAAAGTTGGACAGTTAACCGACTGAGCCACCTAGGCACCCTCACTTTTGTTTTTTAAGCCTGATAAAATTGAAAGATTGGAAAAGCAGGTCAGAAAGCAGAAGGTAACCAGCCATAGCTATAATCAAGCTATTTTTTTTTCCTATGCTAATAAATACCGAGGAGTGAAAACGTTAGTACTGGAGAGGTTTTTGCTTTTTCTAGTATTTCATGTGGAGAGCCATAAAAGAGCACTAAGATGTGTGAGAGCCATGTTGTCTCTGTGGGGTCTGTGGTATTAGCTCCTCTTCCTTTTCTTTCCCAGGCCACTTAAAGATAATGTCCAGCAGTGATCAGAACGCTGGCTGGCCGCGTGTGATAGATGCAGTCTGTACCCCTGGCGGGGCCTGGACAGACTTCCCTGCCAGACCTTTAACACCCTGGCTTTGCTGCAGGCTGCAAGTGTCCCCATAACTTTGGCAACACAGCCTTCTCCACAGAAGCTGGCATAATAGAGAAAACCTGCCCAGAACACAGCGGTGGTCTGAACACTGAGGTGACAGGCCTGTGTCAAGGGAGGCTTTGCTGCTTAACAGAACTTTTACAGGTGATCTTCCTATTTTCCTCACTTCAGACTAGAGCAATCCAGACTCAAGCAAGCCACTCTGAGGGAAAGCAAGGGGGACGTGGGGATGCATGGCTCTGGGAAGATTCCTGTCACCCACTTGGTGCTGCAACCCTCATGTGAATGAAATTTAATAAGAAAATCTTGAAATGTTTGTGAACAGTCTAGGGCTAACCAAAAGAGAGAGTTATCTGTTCTATGTGCCTTCACAAAGGTATCACATACTGATTTCTCTCTCTCTTTTTTTTTTTTTAAAGTTTATTTATTTTGAGAGAGAGAGAGCTTGTGAATGAACACACAAGAAGGGCGGGGGCGGGGGGATCCCAAGCAGGCTCCTTGCCGTCAGCACAGAGTCCAACGCGAGGCTCGAGTTCACGAACTGCGAGTTCATGGCCTGAGCTGAAACCAAGAGTCAGATGCTTGACCTCGCGCCACCCTGGCTCCCCTGCTTTCTCTTCTTAAAGCGTGGTGTTCAAATGGATGTTTTGCTTTAACCAGAGTTCCTGCTTCAGTTTGAGAATGTGACCATTGGGGGAGCAGGGTATTTGAGGGGTGCTTTTATTGCTCACTCTTCCTGTTTGCAGAGAGTGTTTTCCTCAGTAACACCTGTGGCCTCTTTCTTGGATTCTTAACTCCTGCCCAAGCAGGCGGAGTGAGGTCCCCTGTGGGAGACGTAGTCCTTGATCGGCGTCCTTGGATCGGATGGGGCTGCACACTGGGGGCTCCCCACCTCCTGTGTCTCTTTCATCCATTTTCAACAGTCAAGGCAGTGATCCTGGGAGACACCATGTAGCCTCCAGCACCTTCTCGCTTGGGCTTCCCCAGGCTGGAGGTGATGACAAGTGATGGTAGCAAGTTCACTGGGTCATTGTACCCAACCCATAGTGTCTAAGAGATGACGTCCTCCCTCCTGACTCCCCTCAACCCTGACGGCAGGGGCTTATGTCTAATGCTTCAGTCGCCAGCGTATGAGCTTTTCCTTGAACCAAATGGAGTCTTCCTGCAAGAGCCATGTTTATTTCATCTTGGATTTTTACATAAACATACAAAGCATTAGGAGAAAGTAAAGTCTCAAAGGAAATATGCCAAAACAATTAAACGTGGTTATTATAGGTTGAAGGGATTACGGGGCGATCTTTGTTTTCTTTTGTGTTCCTCCGTATCTTCAAAGGTTTCTTCGATGAATGTGGATTTCTTTTGTAGTAGGGAAGAAAATTTGTTTCTCACTCCTTCACCAAACAAACAAAAACAGGAAGGAAGGAAGGAAGACAGGAAGGGAGGAAGGAAGCAAAAGAAAGAAAGTCCTAGAAACAATGGATTTGTAACAACAACACTTAATAATCAAGTTAACCGCAGGGTGCCTGAGCGGCTCAGTCAGTTGAGCGTCCAACTTCAGCTCAGGTCATGATCTGTCGGTCTGTGAGTTTGAACCCTGCATCGGGCTCTGTGATCACAGCTCGGAGCCTGGAATCTGCTTTAGATTCTGTGTCTCCCTCTCTCTGCTCCTTCCCTGCTCATACCTCTCTCTCTCTCTCTCTCCTTCTCTTTCTCTCAAAAGTAAATAAACATTAAAAAATTTTTTTTAAAATAATCAAGTTAACCACACTGTAGCTGAATCATTGGAAGGTTGTGGGGAGGGGGCAGGTGTCGGGGAATAAATAACCGTGTGCGCCAACTTGAGGTGAAGCTGTGTGATATCCTAGCCTACCAGTGCCTCAACACAGACACCTGGTGCTTCTCACCTTGGCCTTTACTAAGAGAGGTCACTTCCCTTTTCTTAGTACAGACTTTAGTGGGTACAATCACGGTTTTTCGGGGGTGCTCACTGGAGCCTCGTTTGTAACCAGGTGACCTTGCCTTTCAGACCGCAGCAGAGAAGTCTCCTGGAGCATATTTCCTTCCTGAGTTTGCACTTTCCCCTCAGGGAAGTTTCCTCGAAGACACAACCGGGGAGCAGTTCCTCACCTACCGCTATGATGACCAGGTAAGAACCTCACAAAAGAGCTTACCTTTGGCTTTGCCATTTGCTGATGGGCAGGAAATGGTTTCTCAAAAATAACTTCAAAATAATTATATTTTCCCCCTTGGCACAGCTAACACAATAGGCCTTTGACTCTCTGGAGGGATCCCGAGACTGCTGGCCTGCCCATGCTTGTATACAATTTCCTACGCAATGTGTGGCTCTTGCTCTGGTGGGGAGGTTGGCTTGAGTCACTTTTTCTTATTTTCATCAGAAATATACATGACGGCTTTGTTCATTTTACTCATCACCAAATTTATTATTCAGTTCTGAAGTTGTCCAACGGCACTGTTTTCTGTTTTCTTTCTTTTTGTTTTTTTAAATATAAATTATTGTCAAATTGGTTTCCATACAGCACCCAGTGCTCATCCCAACAAGTGCCCTCCTCAGTGCCCATCACCCGTTTTCCCTCTCCCCCACCCCTCGTCTACCCTCAGTTTGCTCTTAGTCCTTCAGGGTCTCTTATGGTTTGCCTCTCTCCCTCTCTGTAACTTTTTTTTTTTTTTAACCTTCCCCTCCCCCGTGGTCTTCTGTTAAGTTTCTCAAAGAGCACTGTTTTCTGATTAGGCATTAATTTTTTCTCTCTCATAGCTTTTACTTCCTTTCTTTTAACTGTGCCGACATTGATTTTTTTTTTTTTCCTTCCCAAGCCCATTTTCCAGAAGGGAACAGGGTGGGGGTGGCTGTGTGTGTGTGTGTTTCAAAGACTTCCCGACGGCTCACCGCGGAACAAGGCTGTGCCTGGCGGAGGCGTGCAAGCTGGGCACTGGGCGCCGTGATTCTCTTCCACTCGCGGCTCACGTTGTCGCCTTAACGGCGTTAAGGGTCATATACGTCTTTGAGGTCACTCACACCTTGTCTGCAGCAGCGTGGGTCAACTCTGCCAGATGCAGAGGGTTCTAGCCGGTAGGGCCTGAATTCACTGGGCGGTCGGGAGGGTTTTGGAGGATTTGGCGGATCTTGGTACCCACAGGGCCAGGTGCAGATGCAGAATGGGGCTACACTGTGTTCACAGGGCACACGATGGGGTGGAAGAAGACGGGCCTATGACCGAGGTGTCCTCCTCTGTGTGGTCAAAGCTGGCAAGTTCGGGCTTGAGTGCAGCAGCTGGTTCGCAGGTGGAAGGTGCTCCTCAGGAGCAGAGGCTCTGGCAGCTTGGGCAGATGTGAGACGTGACAGCAGGGAGCGGTCCGGCTGTGGGCAGGCCGTTCTGATCCTCTAAGCTGCTGCTGAGTGGCCTGTGCTCGGGACATTTGGCCGTGGGGCTGGGGTTGGGGTGAGCTGCACGGGGACCCACCTGTGGGCAGGGAGCTACCTGGGGGCTCAGGGGCAGGAGTGAGATAAAGACTAATTGTTTTTTTAAGTCTGTTTGTTTTGAGAGAGAGAGAGCAGGGGAGGGGCAGAGAGAGAGAGGGAGAGAGAGAATCCCAAGCAGGCTTCGCACTGTCAGTGCAGAACACGATGTGGGGCTCGAAACCTCAAACCGTGAGATCATGACCTGACCTGAAAACCAAGAGTTGGGTGTTTAACCGACTGAGCCACCTGGCTGCACCGAGACCAATTTTTAATAAAAAATTTCGACATACGATCAGGATTTTCAAGTGTCTTGAGAAATGAGTGTGTGAATAGTTACTGTGGGCAGCACGGCTGGGCAAGGGATGATCCCGTGTTCACATAATGGGGCCCAGTTAACACTTCGGATGGGCTTTGGGGCCTGGTTGCTACGTTCTCATTAAGTTGCTTTCTGCCCTTCTCCCCGGTGGATTTTTACAGGGCCTGTAATTTATGGCTCCTTGTAATCGAGAAATCAATGATCCAACAGGTTTTCATAGGAAAACTTCAGGGAACTAATTGAGAAGGCATTACGTGATAAAAGAGGGCATCTGGAAAACCATGAGCTATGTACTTTGTAATTAAAGAGTGGTTAATGCCCGCTCCAGGTTCTACAGACATTATCCTTAATATAATAACAGTGTTCAAGCTGGAGGAAAGTAAGTTCCCTCAGCCTTTTCAAAAGGCCTAAAGAAGACTCTAAAAAAATGTTTTTTAATGTTTATTTTTGAGAGAGACAGAGACAGAGTGTGAGCAGGGGAGGGGCAGAGAGAGAGGGAGACACAGAATCGGAAGCAGGCTCCAGGCTCTGAGCTGTCAGCACAGAGCCCGATGCAGGGCTCGAACCCACGAACCGTGAGATCATGACCTGAGCTGAAGTTGGACGCTCAACTCACTGAGCCACCAGGCACCCCAGGCCTAAAGAAGATCTTAAAAGTGTGTGGCATACTGTGGAAATGTTGTCCTAAGACATGGTGTTCCAAAAAGCCCCAGCGAATAGCATATGAAAACATTCTGTATTCTCCCCAGCGTGTGTTTCCCTTAAGGGAAAGGAATAAGGTCACACTAGAACCAGTCGATAACAGCACCTGCTTTCTGCTAACAAAGACCAAGCAAACAGGCTGCACAGGCCTTTGCACCAAACTTGGTGTATTTCCTGAATGAACTTCCAGAATGTTCTCAGCTAGAGACGATCCATCACCCCATGCCTTGGTTCCCTTTCCTCTTAACGCTGAGCGTGCTGGCTGCATCGTACTAGGGGAAGCCTCTCGGGCAGAGGGACGAGAGAATGAGTCCAACCTCGCCCAGTGAGAGAACTCCCCTGGGTCTGCACCGTGCAGTGAAACATGAACACCAATTAAGAGCATTGCTTTGGTTTTGAATCCCTGTTGTGACACGTGACCGCTTGACTTCCCTTGTGACTCTGGACCCGTTACTTCACTTCGCACGTCACACTTCCTGTGTGAAATGCGGACGTGGATGGTCTCTACCCTGTGGAAATGCATTAAGGCTGAATGGAGGTAATTCATACAGGTGTCTCTGCACAGGGCCTACTGCGCGTAAGCACTGAATGTAGATACTGTTATTACTGATATGCTTCTCAGGGGCCCCATTCGGAGAATCTCAGATATGCTTATGCTGCAGAGGAGGAAGAGACATATTCTCCATTGACATCGGGGGACCTTGAGCCATACTTAAATTAACTTATTAAGGCACGGCACGGTATAGGCAAGTGCACGCGTATCTGAAGGGGAGAACTTGACGAATTTTTAAATGTCTTTATACCTGTGTCGTCGCACCCAGATCAAGAAATGGAGCGTTTGCAACACCCTAGTTTCCTCCCACTGAAGAAATCACGCCGTTCTGGCTTCTGTCACGATTATACTTCTGCTTTTTATTTGTAATTTTACATGAATGGAGTCGTATAGCACGTACCCATACGTGTCTGGCCTCCCTCATACGGCATCATGTCGGAGAGATTTGACATGTTGGCGGGTCCGACATAATTTAGGCTTTGACGTCCCTGTAAGTTGTATTCTTTGGAACAAGTTGTCCCGTACTGGGACACCACAGTGAATTCCGTGGCATGAGGCATTGTTCCTGGCTCAGAAATTCCCCAGCTGTCCCTAAAAGGTTTTCAGGGCTGTCCCTCCCTCACCGAGCCCACATCCGGAGGGTGGTGGGGGGCAGTTGTCTGGTGTACCTGTCACCTAACTTCCACCCCCCGCCCCCCATCACCTGCTGGCGTCGCCTGGCTAGGAACAGGTGCGGGTGGGTGCGAGTGGCCGTCCAGGCTGGTGTCTGTGCTGTCACACTTGCAGATTTGTGCAGACGCCCCTTTCTGCTGGGGCAGAGGCCTGAAGCCAGAGTGACACAGAGAGCTTCTGTCCTTGAGGCTGCAGCCTGCCTCTGGGGGTGACTGCATTGGGACTGGGTTCCCGAGGATCGTCCTACCCACAGAGCGCTCGTTTGATAAAATGGGAAGCGGGCAGGTGGTAGATCGCTAGTTGCCGTCTTCAACCGTCCCCGTAGGGCTTTTTCGAGTATTTCATCCCGGCCTACTTTGCACGAAGACCTTTAAGGTCACCCTTCCAATGGCTCCTAGAGGAGGTGTCTGGAAAACGCATAACCCTGAGGCCAGTAAAGCACAGCTGTGATGTAGGCTGCGTTTAATGAGTCACATAAAAGGCGCACTATGGATTATGCAGGGGCCGAGGCGGCTTCTGGTGCAGGAAAGCAGTGCCGAAGCCAACTGGGTAACCGTGTGGTTCGGGGCCGACCGGCTGGTAGTCAGGCAGCCCTCGTCTTGCTTCTGCTACGAATCAGCTCGTAATTTAACAACGGCTTTCAGCATCTTTGCCGTCAGATTTCAGCGTCAGATTCTCCATTTGTTTTGAAAAACAAGGTGACTGTGTTGCATGATCCGCATGCCTTCCACTTTGAAATTGTTGGGTTTTTTGTCTGTTTATTTTGTTTTGTTTTGTTTTTTTTAAACTACAGCTAGAATAGTCCACACTGCAGAGTGCTAATTGGATCATTCCGATTCTCAAGGTGGACCTGCCAGCAGTACAGTAAACTGTTACTTAGAGAATCATAGAATTTTACAGCTGCCGCGGACCTTGGCTCAACGCCTCGTTTTACGAGTCAAGGAAACAGAGACTCTGGATGTATAAGTGACCAACTCAAGGACACCCAGACAGGTGTTTGCAAAAACTAACACTACTGCACTCCGATTTCAGGCTGCCCCTCTGAGATATAGCTGCCTGCTCCTTTCAAGAGAATCACCCAGAAAATGATCTCCTTTCCTCGTAATCCTGCTTCTGCTGTTAAACCTTAGCAGACCGTACTAGACCCAAGGGAATGACTTAATATCACTGAGTTGCTTCCTCAGCTCATTCTTAACTTAGCACCTTCAGGACTTAAGAATTAGCTATGCCGATGGCATTTATACACATGATTATTATCACACCAGGAACGGCATTTTTCCTTCAAAGTCCGGGCGGAACATGATAGCTGATGTTAAAATGGCGCTGACTTCCCATTTGGTGAGCATATCCTTGCAACGGAAGCATCCTGACATTTGGTTGCATCAGTCATACAAGGTGGTTAACCCGTGTTTGGTGAAGGGCTTG